CGCGCCGCGCCGCCGCGCCGCAGCCCATTGGCCGCGCCTCGCCGAAATGCAAATACATCGCCTCCGCGCCGGCCCATTGGCTGTGGCGCGCCGACATGCAAATATATCGCCCTCGCGCCTGCCCATTGGCTGGCGCGGCGCCGCGGCGGACTACGTAACTCGGGTGCTCCCCTGGGTCCTAGAGACAGTTTAGACAGTTCCGTGGGGAAATACAATTGCGGCGGCCAGGCGGGGCCAGGGATTCGAGTCTTTGTTTTGGTGTCTGAGGCCCTTAGAAGCCAGCTGCGTTCCCAGGCCTGGCCGTGGCGGACGCGAATTGGAGGCTGCAGACATGGGGCGTGGGCCAGGCGCCACTCCGCTTCCCCATCCAGTCCTAGTTTCTGGGGACTGAGCTTTCTCTGCGCCTTCCGCCCTGGTGGCACTTCAGTTTGCTTAAGGCCGGCGCCCGTGGAGCCCCACGGTGCCACCAGACTCCCCTCCCTGCCTGAAGAAGAGCCCGAGGGTCAGCGGGCAGAAGGCTGATGTCCTGCGCTTCGCTGCGCAGGGCGTGCACTTTGCGCTCAGCCTCCGGGGTTATCTTTAAAGGGGGGACCTCAGGGTGTGATCAGGATGAAACGGTTGAGGAGGGGTCGCAGGGCAGCCAGGAGCCCCAGCAAGGCGTCCTCTCCAGGCGCCCAGGGTGAGGGCCACCGCTCTTTCCCTCCTGACCCCCCCGTGCACCCCCCCGTACCCCTCCCCCCCGTGCTCTCTATCCCCAGCCCTTCCAAATTACCCTCTTGGCGGCCAGGCCCAGGAGGGAGGGTGGGCAGTTTCTGTGTGGCAGTGTGGGGATTGCCCCAAGTATGTGGTGGGCACCCCCAGGGCGTGCACTTCCAGGGTTGGAAGAATTGCACCTTTTGAAATCCAGGGTCATCCGACTGGGGAGCACCACATCTGTGGGCTGGAGACTCAGGTTCTATTAGCAGACACTGCTGGAGGCGGTGAGGGGACCTCAAGTGAGTGACTCAGCCTCCCCGAGTGGCTCTGCTTGTCTCTGACACGGGAGGATGAGTCCTGCTGTGAACGCAGAGCCCGGAGCCGCGGTCACAAGGATGTGGGGAGGAGCCAGTAAGCTGGTGTCCCAAGGAGGAGCTACCGTGGATAGGGTGCGCCGGAGGCCACACCCCCCCAAAGCTTGCTAGGCAGCAGGGATGACCTGGTCCACCTCTGGCGCTGTGCTGTGCTTTTCGGCGCTAGAGGGACACTGAGGCAGGGACGTCGTAGTTTTCTCTTGGGTCTGTTTTTCCCTTGCCCTCTCCCTGTGGCCACAGCCCCCACCAGAGGTGGGTGACTGTAGGCCCAGCCTGGACAGAGATCAGAGTGAATGGAGGACACAGCTTATGTTTTATTTCATTTTGGAAAAAATCACAGCAACCTTTAACAACTGGGACACAACACACACACACCCAGACTTTCCTATCGCGTGGGACCCTTGGGCTTCTTGGGCTGCAGGCAGACAGGCTGTGGTCAGCAAAGTGGACCTGTGGCCCACGACACCCAGGCCTCACTCCACATGCCCCATGTCCTGCCATCCCACTGGCATGTGAGGTTCAGGCCCCTGCTGACCCTGTGGTGTCCTTCAGACTCCTGCTGGGCCTCCGGCCTCAGCCTGCCCAGTAGCCCACCACCATTGCAGTCCTCAGCTTTCTTTAATCTCACTGTGGAGTGCAGCACTCTGGATGCTGAAGGGCAGGCAGTGTGGCTCCTGCTTATTTCCTTCCCCAGCCTCCCCCAGCATCCCGGGCGCCCTCCACGTGGCCTGTTTCTGCCTGTGGTGCCAGGGTTGAGCCCTCCGCACTGAGATGCGTCCTCAGCCCTTCTATTTTCTGAGACTGGGTCTTGCTAAGCTGCTACACTATCTAGAGAGGAGGGCTCGCTGCTGCTCCCCCCTCTCCAGCCAAAGAGCATGGGGATTCCCCACTTTTTCTGCCAGAGTTCTGATTTTAGCAAACCTTCTGGACTATATTTACTTTTTGCCTGCTTGACACACTCCTATCATGTCTTAAAAGCCAAGTTTGAATTTCTGGTGCCATCTTCCTTGACCTCCCTGGGGCCAGTTCTCCCAAGCGTCCCCTCCTGTGGAACACTGACCCTTCTGCTTGTTCACAAGCCTTGGAGTCACTCTAAGGTCTCAGTGCCTCTCTCTGCCTGGGAAGGGGCAGCTTTCAGCTTTACATGTAGGAGAATCACCTGGGGGTACCACTGCGAACACCTGCACATCCTGGTTCAGTGGGTCCAATGGGGCCCAGACCTCTGACCTGTAAGCTCCCCTGGAAGAGTGCAGAGTCACTAAGATGTCTCCTCAAGTAGCAGGGCACCCCTGGGTGCTACTGGTAGGACCCCAGGTGAGCTGCCTTGGGGCTGCCCCGCTGGCTGGCACAGCCAGGGCTTGGGCTTGTGGGTGAGAAGGGCAATCTTTCAGGCAGATGCATGTGCTGTTCTGTCCTCTAGGGCCTTGTCACCGGCTCCCCTCCATGCTCTGCAAATCCAGAAGGTCTGGGTTTTTGCCCTCCAGGCCCCAGGTGGTTGGGATCCTCCTGAGTCACATGCTGGGATGGTAGAGGTGGCTTGGCACTGTCAGGGGCAGACATCATCTTCCTTTGGTTTTATTCTCAAAGCTTTCTAGGCAGTAGATTTAGGAGCACACCTTGTTTGGGAGGCCACCTGGCATCCCTCCACCAGCGCTGCTAGAGGCTTCCTTGCCTGGATGCCACAAGGGGGCGCCTGAGACTGCTCCCAGTAGCCACAACCCTGGGGAAAGGGTCAACCCTGCTCAGCTCCAAGTCTGGGAGGGTGAATTTCATCCAGGAAAGACAGCAGGGTGCACTGGCCTGGCCCAGGCAGCCCCTGCCTTCCACCCCTCTCTTCTTCCCCAGGGAGCAGGTGCTGTTCTGAGTGTGGGGGCAGGGCTGGCAGGGTTTCTCTGAGATGGTGGCACTTCCAGGACCCCTCTGGATTTGGGCCAGAATGCAGGGCCACCTGCTGTGGCATGGTGGTCTACTGGTGGGTGGAAAGTCACCTAGGCTGGCTAGGTCTCCTCAGGATCACTGTTGCCAGATGAAGGACTGCAGTCTTTGGCATCCCTTGGGCTGCTGGGCCCCTCAGCTGTTAGCACGAGCTCCCTTGCTCTCCTTCTCCCTCGGCATGGCTTCTTGGAGGCTGTGGGAAGTGAACAGAAGTCATGCAGAGGTGTGGCAGTGGCCCAGCAGCCTCATGGATCCCCTCAAGGTGACACTGGTGTTTGCTGAGGCCTGTGAGGACAGCTTGTGGTGACCTGGGTAAGGTTGGCTGCCACCCTCACTCTTAACAGCAAAGATGCAGGGGTAGGGGGTAGCCCCATGGGAGAGCGAACCATAAGAATTTGATACACAGGTAGCTCATGTCCCCAAGTGTGTCCCTGAAGGCAAGGTCTGAGCCCTGAGCCTGGTCACTAGCTCAGAGAGGGCTTGGAGCAAGCCTGGTGACCAGGAGCTCGGTGGCCCCTTGCACCCTGTGGCTGGCTCCCACTGGGTGATTCTGCATGCTCACTGCAGGAAATACTTGGAAACAAGAGAGGCCTGCTGGTCCCTCCACTCGAGCAAACACAGGCCGTGGCGGTCGCCTGCCGGCGACAATGGCTCATTGTGGCAGCCACAGCCCAGCCTGCTGAGCTGCAGGCCCTGCTGGGCAAACACCAGGGCCACATGATTGTGGGCTTAGGTGTCCAAAGGCTCAGCCATTGTGCCCAGAGCAGGAAGTGGAAGGTTGTCCTGATATCTATGCCAGGCTGTGAGGCTCCTGCCTGCCCTGTCAGGAGGAGCTGAATCTAACGGCATCAGCCACCTTGGGCAAAGAAGAGAGCAGCCCTCAGCCCCAATGGGGAGAGACCTCAGGCCCAGCAGACATCGCTGTTGCTACTCTGGGCAACAGGTGGACCTGAGGGTGTAGAGGCACCTGCTGGGCTGAGGAGGAGGCCACGACCAGGGCCAGGAAGCCCATCATTTCCTGATGATGGTGACAACTGGCCCCTGCTCTCTGCTTGGGACCTTCTACCCTTATCTCATTGAAATCTCAGAGGCCTAGTGTTGGTCCTCTTAGAGAAGGTGAAACAGGCTCAGGATACACAGTGAGATGGCAACGCAGTTGGGAGCCACTGGGCCCACCCTCCTGTTGGGGCTGGTGCTGGAGCAGTGCAGGGCTTGTTTCAGCGCCCACTGGCTGGGGCTGCCACTCACCCAGTGCTGGCAGAGGTGACCCCCACCACCCTCGCAGAGGTACCTTTGCTTGTAGTGTCCAAGGCCTGCTTCCTCTTCTGCTGCTGACCTTGCTGGGGGTCCCGGGGGCAGAAGCACCTGTGTTCCTCCCCTGGTGTGCTCAGCTTGGCCCCTGTCTTGGAGTGTGGGCTCACCTGGGCAGAAAGGGGTGCATTGAGGCCACGGAGCACCCCTGCCAGCCTGCAGTGCCCTCTCCAGCACACCGCTGTGGCCCACCTCACTGTCGGAGATGTCGGACTCATCCAGTTCCTCTGACTCCAGCCTTTGCACTCCAGCCTGTCTGGGCTCTGAAAGACAGAGTGGAGGGGTCAGCCAGGTTGGTGGCCCTGGAGCCACCAAGCCTGTCTAACTAGGACAGGGAAATCTCTGCGGAGCTGGGTGACTTACCCCAGAATTCCTGATGGGGTCTGAGCCCTGGCCAGGTCTCCATCTGTGCCAGGGCCCTGCTTACTGAAATGCCCTCCCCCAGTCTGGCTGCTCCCAGCTCTGGGGCCAATGCTGGTCACTTCCCTGAGCGTGGTGGGAATATCTGCCTGGCCAGGTGCCTTTCTGTCCGCAGGTGGGAGGCGCTGGACCCCAGACCCAGGGCCACCAGGGCTGAGCACTGCCCTCCCTTGGCAGGCAGCACCACTTCTGGCTGGATGCTGCTGGCTGCAAGCTCACTATACCTGGGGGCGTGGCAGGCTGCGGGCTCTGTTGGGGGGGCGCTGGCCTTGACCTTCCTCTGGCTTCGCATCTTGTCCCAGCAGAAGTGAGCAGGGCGAGGCGGGTCTCTAGGAGTGGCTGGAAGGGCTCCTGGGGGAGGCAAGCAGGTGGCAGGAGCACTCAGCCCTGGACAGGGCCCCCGGTGCACACGGGCTATGGCTCCAGGTCAGCCCTTCCATCTCCAGTGTGCACAAGCAGCCAAGGTGTTCCCTGGAACTGACTCACTCCGGTGGAAGAGGGACTAGGCCAGGGTGGGGGAGGCTGGGTGCAGCCTGGGGCCTGAGTTCAGCAGTGAGCCCCTTACCACGGGAGTGGGAGGCCCCTCTGTCTCCGGCTCTGTGGCTCCCTCGGTGCCATTGCTGAGTGTCGGCGGGCTGTGTGGTAGGGGTCCGGACCCAGTCAGTGGCTCGGGGCTGCAAGGGTGCGTGAGTTTGGGGCTGAGCGACCCGGTTTGGCCGGCCGACTTGGGAGCGTCCTTGCTCCGGCCTGGGTCCGAGAGATCCAGGGGCTTGTCTGGGGCGTAGTCCTGAGTGGCTGCTGCCTCCCTGCGCGGGGAGCTGCAGGGCCATGGGTGCCGCCCACCAGGCAGGGCCGCTGTGGCCAGGGCTGGCCCGGGGACCTCGTGCTCCGGACTCTCCGAGTCCCAGCCGCCGCGGGGCAGGGAGGGCGGGGTCCCCCGCAGCGGGGGCGGGCCCCTCAGGCTGTGGCCGCTCGCCTGCGCCCGCGCACACAGCTGCCTCTGCGCCAGCAGCAGGTGTAGCGCCCCCTCCAGCCGCGGGTCCTGCATGCCCAGCAGCGCGCCGGGCAGCCCCAGCAGGCCGGCGGGCTCCTCCCAGGCCTCCCCTGCCTTCAGCACCCAGGGCTGGGGGCCGTTGTGCGGGCTCCGCAGCTGCAGCGACAGGGGCCGGTTCAGGACACAGAAGCGGTCGGCCTGGAGGGGGCGCGTCAAGGGCTCGTAGGCCGGGACGGAGGACCCGGAAGCCCGCAGGAGGCTGTCGGGAAGAGAAACTCAATGCAGAAGCCTTGCACAAGGCAGGCAGCAGGGCCCCATCTCACAGGTGAAGAAACCGAGGCCCAGAGAAGTGCGGGAGGGCCCCAGGTCTGCAGGGGAGAGGGTAGGCTCCCCGGGGCCTGGCCACGGGGGTCACACCTGGCTTCTTACCCCATTCCCTCTCTCAGACAGCGAGGGGCAGCTGGTCATGGGCCTTGTAAGCACCCTTCCCAAGGCCTGGCTCCCCCTGCCCCCACACTCTGAGCTTAGTTACTCGGAGGTTTCCTTGTGGACCCTCTGGCAGGCAGGATGCCCAGCAGAACCAAGCCAGAGAAAAGGTGGCGCCCATGAAGGCATAGCAAGGGGTCTCCTGGGCTGCCAGGATCTGGCCGCAGGGTGGGCCTGGAGGGCTCACCTGTCCAGAGGGAGGCTGTGCTCGAAGCCTGGACTGGATGGGCTGCTGCTGCTGGGGGGTGGGGATGTCCCATCGCTGGGGCCATGGTCTGCCGGGCAGGCCCGCGACCCAGGCCGCACCAGTGCCACTGTGGCATGCAGCTGGTTGGAGATGCACTGGGGACTCTGTATATGGGGCGTAGATCAGAGCAGTCTGGGTCCCTGCTGCCCTTGACCTTGTCTGCTGCGTGGGTTTGGGCAGCCCCTCCCGCATCCTCCCACGTTAGTGTGGGACCAAGGCCTCACCATGCCTGGGGCCCGTGGCTCAGGAAGGTGGCTGCCTGGGGAGACTTTGGACGCTGGAGATGTCCTGCAGCCCACCGACTTCTCTGTGGGAGGAAAAGCTGTGGCAGGGAACTTGGGAGACCTCAGGAGGGCTGGCTCAGCCTGGCGTGTCCTGCCCCACACACCTTCTCCGGCAGGACCTGCGCCTGGCTGGTCTTCTTCAACCTCTTCTCGGCCTCCCTGTGTCTTCTCAGTGCCAGCCTTCCGGCCACCGGGGGAGGAGAACAACAGAGGCGATGGAGAGTCCACGGTACCCTCCCTGGCCAGAGGTGGGGGCCGCTCCCTGGAAGCAAGCCAGGCGGCTGAGGAACAGGGTCCAGGTGACCAGGAAGGGGCAGCTGTCCTGCACCCTCCACACCAGGGCTTCCCCCAGACACGAGTGGGGCATGCCAGGGGGTGGGGAGTTGGGGTGCCCACTCACTCCAGGCTGCGTAGCTGCTTCACTTCATCCTTCAACGCCTTATTCTCCTCCTTTAGCCTGGTTAGCTCGTTGGCTGCAAAAGGCAGGCCTGAGTGGAGCAGCAGGGAGGGGAGACCCAGGCAGGGTGGGGGTGCTCACGGTCCAGGACCCCCACCTCACTTCTGTCCATCTCCCTGTCCTGGGCCTGGGGCCTGGTATACAGCAGGGGCTCCGTGAATGCTCGCTGCAGAGCGGGTGGTTGGATGTTATGGAACAAAGAGGACAGCCTCGAGGTTTGGAGAGATGGAGACCCCACCGCGGCCTATCCCAGGGCTGTCAGTGAGCCCTGCTGTCTGTGGAACCCCTCCCCATGGCTAGAGCAGGGGCAAGGCCCTGGGAAGGCAGGGGTGCAATTCTCCTTCTAGGATACCCGGGGAAGAGCCAGCAGGGCTCCATAACGTTCATCTGAGAACTGGGCTATGGCTCACCCACTGTGCAGGCCAGGGTGGCCCTTTCTCCTGCCCTCCCCATAACAGCGAGGAAAGCAGGGGACGCTGGCCACAGGAGGTGGGGCTTACTGAGGACACAGATGCGCTGCAGGCTTTGCAGGTGGGAACTCTCGAACTCCAGCTGCCTCTTCCTGGCCACTTCCTGGGTGACCATGCAGCGGTCACAGAGGCCAGCCCGCAGTCTGTGGGCAGGGGAGGAGACGCCCTGTTGAGGGGAGGCTGTGACCTCTTGCTGCCTGCTGCCAGGATGCTAAATTGTTTCTTGGACCCCCCCAGGCCTGTCCCACACTGTGGGCTTAGTGTTCTGGGTTCAGCTGAGCCGGGAAGGCCCTGCAGGCCTTGAGAGGTCCTGAGGTGGAGAGGCCTGCATGGTGCGTCACGCCAGCCCACTCACCTGTTCTCCAGCACTCGAAGGTTCTCCTTCAGCGCTTTCTGCTGCTCCCTCAGCTGTTGGTTCTTGGCAAAGAGCTCCTCCACCCGCTGGGCATCCCTGCAGGGAGACGGTGGAGGTGGGGCGCCCACCTGGGCTGGAGCCTCCCCACCTGGGCGGGCTGGACTTCTGAAGTCCTGTGCTTGGTAGCCTTAGCTGTGCAGGTGGGCAGCAGCCAGGGCAGAGGTGAGCTCAGCGAGCTCCTGCACAGGCTGTTTCCCAGACAGGCAGGCAGGCAGGCAGCTAAGGAGGCTCTGTTGTGGCCTCAGGGTGAACACAGGGGCTCACGGGCCCTCTGGAGCCGCTGTCCCACCCTTCTCCAGCACCTGTGTGACCTTGGCCAAGGCACTCAGCCCACCCCCACTCTGTCTCAGTTTCCCTTCTGTATCTGGATAGTGACAGTGCTGCACCCCAGGGCATCAGCGGAGGTCTGAGCGCTGGGCCGGGAGCAGCGGCTGCTGGCTGCGGCCCTGGTCGCTCCAGGCTGACTCACCGGCACCGCTCCGAGTTCAGTTCCAGAAGCTTGTTCTGCAGGCCTGGTGGGGGAGGGGCGGTCAGGCCCAGCCCTGCTGTCTCCCTGGGCAGTGCCCCCCAGCAGGGTTTGGGTGGAGCCCAGAGGTGTGCCCCCCTGTCACTGGCTGTCATGAGGGGTCCTTTCTGGATCCCTGACCTCCTGGCCACCCCTCTGGCTGGGCTTTCTGCCTGTGCCTGCTGGGACACTCCCCTCCCCCAAAGTGGCTGCGCAGGAGTCAAGAGGGGCTGTGTTTTGGGAGATGCTAATGTGAAATTAGAGAGCTTTTGTGGAAGACCCTATACTGTTTCCTTTTGTCATATCTGTCTTTTTGTTTTTCCGAAGTCCTGGAGATCGATTGAATCAAGAGCCTTTGCACCAGTGCACATTCCTAGCTCTGCCCGCCCCCATTTCAAAATTGGACACAGGGTCTTGCTGAGTTGCCCAGGCTGGGCTCAAACTTGCAGTCCTCCTGCCTCAGCCTTGCAGAGTGCTGGGATTGCAGACATGTGCCATCATGCCCGATTCATTCATTACATCTATGTCATCCACTGTGGACTGGGGTTCTTGCCCAGGCAGCTGTGCCTCTGGGATACTCAGGAAATAACCAGCCCCTTTGGACACTCTCTGTGAGTCGGTGGGGGGGGGGGCTGGCATTGCAGAGGGGTGGGGAGGAGGTGAATCCGACTGGTGGGGAACTAGGCAGGAGTGCGAGGCCTGCAGCATGTCCTGGAGGGATGGGGGGAGTTTCAGCCCTGCCTTCTGGAATGCTCCCGACGGGGACGGGCAGGAAACATGCACTCTGTCCTTTAAAGTGGACTCCCTCGCTTCTGGGGGACACCGAGGCCCAACTCTGGGTGAGGGGTCATGGAGGCCAAGCCGCTCAAGGATCTTGGCCAGGACTGGTGTCTTTTGTTTGTTTTATTTTGACACAGAGCCTTGCTACGCTGCGGAGGCAGCCTTGAGCTGGCAATTCCCCTGCCTCAGCCTCCTGAGTAGCTAGGATTACAGGTATGTGTCACTGTAAGTCCACCTGAGTGGACTTTTGGGACAACATAGCATGGATGCAGGTGGAGGCCGGGCTTGGGGGTGGCCATGAGGTGCTGGCGCCCTCAGACATGCCCCCCTCGGGACCATCCTCTGGGGCATAGCCAGTGTGGAAGCAGCACTTAAGTCTGGGCACAGCCTGGGCATCCAGCCGCCTAGAAAGACTCTCAGGACCCTCCTAGAAAGATGGGGCCCATATTGTTGAGAATCGTAGGTGACACGGAGCTTCCTGGTCTGCCTGTGCCACTAAAACCCTTTGCCAGGGAAAGGGCCCCTGTGTGCCGGCTGCTCACCCAGGACCTCCTTCTCGTGGACCTCCTTTAGCTTGTTCAGTGACTCCGTGAAGTTCTCCATGGCTCCCTGAGCCTGACCACCCTGCTGAGGGGCTGGGTTGGCCGTGCCTCTACTGCCCGCCTGGCTGCAGCCTGCAGGGAAGTGGGGATAGGAGCTGGCATGGGCAGGACCGCTGGCTTCAGAGTCCAGCCCTGGCCTCAGGGCCGAGCTCCCACGTCTGCATCAGGGCAGAACGCACAGTGTGTGTGGGGGGCTCAGCCTAGGGACCTGGGCAGGTGCACAGGAGTGTAGGAGCCACCCTGGGGGAGGGGCAGCAGAGAGCAAGGGGCACTTGGGGCGAGGACCGGCCCTTTGAACTGCCCTGCCCTCCCAAAGATGTCTCGCCCGCCAGTGCCAGCACTGTTCCCACGGAAGTGCCGGCTGGAGCAGAGTAGACGGCACATGTCCGTCCCCACCAGGGCATGTCTGGGGAGCTGGCTTGGACCTCCTGGAGCAGGGTCAGCTGCTGTCCCTCCCGGCCCCTGCAGGCCCTCCTCCCTCCTCCCACCTCTCAGTGTCCCTTCAGAGGGCCACACACCCTCCATCTGTGTGCACGTACACGCATGCAGAAGATGGCACTGCACACACAGGCCACACGTGTGCGTGCACATTCGTAGACGCACACCACATACGTGGACGTGCACAGATGGTGGAGCACACACACACAAGCAGATGGCATGTGCGACCGTTTGCGGCCCTGCGGCCTCATCCCCAGGGCCCCGTCTCCCTCAGTTGCTCCTTCTGCCTCCCTCCCTCCACTGCCCAGCAGGCTGGCCCTGTCCTGACCACACAGCGGTAGTACGGTGGTACCCTGACCTGCGCCTTCTGCTGGTACCTGCCGAGAGCCTGTTGTGAGCTGTGCCTAAGGCCTCACCACAGGCCACAGAGGGGACGAGGGTGAGTGCACACTTCCCGGGACTGCCCTGAGGACCCAGTGTCCAAGTGTGTGTCCCACTGCACATGGACCTGGCTCGTGGGGTCCAGAGCCCCTTGGGCACAGAGTAATGCAACCACTCAGGCTCTTGGGGATCGGGGTGGTGGGTGCCCTTGACTGGCAGAGACAGGGCCTGGGACCCTAAGAGGTGACAGTGGGTTGGGAGCTTACTGCAAGGAGAACCTTTTGGGGTCCTGGCCCAAGCCTGGCTCTCAGCTGAGTCCTCACACCTGTGGACAAGTGCCAGGGCTCTGTCTGGCACAAGGCGTGCTCAGTGGCTGTGGTGCCCATGGGGGCCCGGTGGGCAGAGCCAGCTGGGGCATGGTGGAGAGCAGAGCCTCCCCAAAGCCTGCCTGGGAGCAGAGGTGACAGCTGGTGGCCTGGTGACCTGTGGGTGAGGGACTGGGAATGAAGGAGAGTGGAGGCTGGGTGCAGGGCTCACCCTTGAGGGTGCTCCTGCAGCTCAGTGATGAGATGCTAAGTTCCAGCGTCTCGAGGCAGACATGGGCTCGGGCCAGGGTACAGTCACCAGGCCTCTCTGAGTGGTAGCTCTGCCCCCCACTTCCTGAGCTGCTGCTGTCCTACCCTGGGGACCGTCATTTTAACCACAGTCATCCAGCCCTGACTGCACCGCAAGGAGTCTCTCTTCAGCTGGGGAAACTGAGGCTCAAGGCAGTCACATCCCCATCTTTCTGGCATAGGGGCAGAGGGAACTGGACTTGAGCTTGGCTTGTGGAGTGGCATGTCTTGTGCGTTTGCCGTGTGCAGGCCTGGATGTTTCCCCAGAGGCTCTAAGGCCTGGCTATGCTGGTCTCAGCCTGCTGAGGGCCCAGAGAGGTGGGATGCGGGCCGAGCCTCCATACTCGGGCTGGGCTGCACAGGGGCTGAGCTGCAGCACCTGAAATTCCACCTGGACTGGCCCAGCAGGCTGTTCTTCCCTGGCCCCTGTACCTGCTGTGTGGGCTGGGCTGACGCCCGTAAAAGAACCACCCAAAGGAACTGAGGTGCCCGTGGGCGCAGGAGAGCTCTGTGTAGACTCTGTCCACGTGAGGTGGGCAGTATTCCCAGTGATGTGACTGGCGCTGAGGCTGGCCCATCAGGAACTGAATTCTCTCTCCTGAGCCCAGTCCCCTTCTCCTGAGGGGTCCCCTGCTGTGTCCATCCCACAACAGTTGTAGGCCCTGCCTGGCTCTTCTTCTCCCAGTCTCCAAGGGTGGCAGGAGAAGCTCTCCTGCACACTGTATGGGGACAATGCGCCAAGCCCCTCAGCAGAGCAGGTGGTGGCATGGAGGTGGGTGGGGGCTGGGCAGGCCTTGGGGCTTGGGTGCACAAGTGGAGGGCATGAGTGGGATGAAACCTGGTCATAAAAGCATGCCCAGCTGCCTTGTGCCAGGGGTCAGGAGGGCCTGCAAGCCTGCCTGGTGGTTGGACCTATAGGTGCCCCTCTTCAGGGGTTCTTGGATGCAGGGAGCTCTGCAATTGGCAGTGGGAACTAAGAGGGCTATGCTGGGGGAGGGGCTGGCCTGCTCCCTGGGGGTCTGTAACAAGGAAGAGGTGAGGGGCGAGGGGGGCTGCTCAGGGTGGGTGGACAGGGCTTAAGCTCTGTGGCTGAGGGTCTGCAGGCTGACCCCCATCTGGGTATCCAGGCTGATGCCGAGCCCCGGGGGGAGCTGGGGTAAGGACAGAGCTGGCTGCCCCCCTTTGGGTTGGGACCCTGGGGTGGGCACAAAAGGAGGCACAACTGCCATCTTGTTCGACACCTCTGACCTGCCAGGCCCAGATCTGTCCCTTTGTGGATGGGAGCAGAGGGGCCCTGAGGTGGAGTTTTGACCACAGACCAAGCTGGGGGTTCTGGCTGCGGGTGCTGTGTGGAGTTCTGCTCCCAGCTGCAGGACCTGCAGGTCCTGCTGCTTCAAGCCAATGATAGTGTGTTCTTTTGACCAGATCTGAGCAGGGCGCAGCTCATCAACTGGAACCTGCCCCAAGAGAGCCCTCCACCAAGCCAAGGGCTGGCCAGGGGTGACCAAAAACCAAAAACAGGCAGTGAGTCCTGATGCAGGATGCGGGGGCTAGAAGGGGCCTGCTAAGGTTCGGGCCAGCGGTAGGGACTCCAGTGCCAAACTAGCAAGGGGCTGGGCCAGCCCAGAATGGAGTGGTCCGGCCTCCATGTGTCAGGACCCCGCAGGAGTGTCAGAGTCACCTGGGAGGGTCCATGCATGAGACTGAGGCCCTCCTTCCTCTTGTCCCCACCAGGAGAGCATTTGCTGCTGGCTGCCTGTCTCCTAGGGCTCTTCTACCCCGCAGGCCCCCTACCTGGTCCTCAGACATGCACCAGCCTCCCGGGGTCCATACCTGCCCCTGTGGGCCCTGTAGCTCACCCCAAGAGGAGGCAGGGGTTTTCCTCTGCTGTTTTAATCTGAGTAGGCTGGGTCTCAGTGCCCCAGGGGAGGGTGCCCCCACCTCCCACCAGCAGCTGGCTGGGGGGGCATCAGTCTGGGCAGTGGGCTAAAGGCAAGGGCTTTGGGCGTGGCTCCTGTCCTGTCTTGACCTCCAGGGAGCCTTGGGCAAGTCACTTTACCTCTCTGAGCCTCTGTTTCACGTGCACTTTGCCCCACATCAGCTTGCTGCAGGGCTCCCACCAGGTACTGCATGCTTCAGATCTGGGCAGAGGGAACCCTGTGGCCTTCCACGCCGCCCTCCTGGACGGCCCAGAGGCCTGTGAGTGCCACCAGTGGGAGACCCGGCCCTAGTGATAGGTTCGAGTTTGGGGGCTGAAAAGGCTTTTGCAGAACAAGCCATTCCCCAGTGCAGGGCGAGCCTGGGGTCCCTATGGTAAAGGCATGCAGTCGGCTGCTGGGGATCTCCTCCAGGTCCCCGGGCCCTGGCAGCTGTGCCCAGGGAGGTGCCATCTGCTTCCCTGCACCGATGAGGACGTTAACACCCAGCTGTAGCCACAGCAGGTAGGTGTCACCTGGCTTAGTGGGAAGCCCAGAGGTGCCCCCGGCACCCTGTCTCCCAGTGCTGTCCCTGAGGGCCAGTTGGGGACCCCAGGATCCTCAGGCCACCCAAGCCTGTGTCACTGGGGGTTTTGGCTGCCCCTCCCCCAGGCCGATCCAAGGAGTGGCCTGGCTCCATGGTCCCAAAGGCATCTGCCCAGAAGCTGTCCCTCTTTCTGCTTTCTTCTTCGTCTTTTTTGTTTGTTTTTACGGGACTGGGGATTGTACTCAGGCCCTTGTGCTTGTCAGGGAAGCACTTATTCCACTGAGCCATCTCCCCAGCCCCCTTTCTGCTTTCTTCTACCAGGCTCCTGGGAGAGGGTGACCGGGAGTGGACTCTGCCCCTGCTTCAGGGTAGGGGCTGTCCCGGCCATCTGACTGCCCACCTGTGCTCAAGGACAACAGTGCTGGTGCCCTGCCAGTGAGTCCACCCTGAACCTGCCATGGTGCCTTGGGGCTTTCTGGCTTGCGGGGGCACTGAAATCCTCCAGGGGTTCATGGGCCCATCACTGAGTAGTTCCTCATCCCCCTTCTGCCTCCTGCCAGGACCCTCAGGGCCAGGCGTGCCGCAGAGTCCCTGCGGTGTGTGCTCACACGTGCATGGCCAAAGCCCACTTGGCCTTGGAGGAAGTGCTGGCTGTTGTTTCCTTCTATAGGCTCAGAGCCTGAGGCTGGAAGCAGGGGTGAACAGGAGGGCAGGATTTGAACTGGGGTCTGGATGGCTTCAGCACCTCTGCCTATTCTGTGTGGGGGCTCCTGCAGTGATGGGCAAAGCCTATTGTGTGGTGACTTTTATCAACTTGTTTGCCAGGCTATGCCTCAGTTTCCGCATTTATAAAAGAGGTGGTGAGGGCTGGGGACATAGCTCAGCGACACAGGGCCTGCCTTGTAAGCGTGAGGCCCTGAGTTTGATTCCCAGCACAAAAAATCAAAGCCAAAAAACAAGCAGTGAGTCCTGATGCAGGATGCGGGGGCTAGAAGGGGCCTGCTAAGGTTCGGGCCAGCGGCAGGACTCCAGTGCCAAACCAGCAAGGGGCTGGGCCGGCCCAGAATGGAGTGGTTCGGCCTCCATGTGTCAGGACCCCGCAGGAGTGTCAGAGTCACCTGGGAGCGTGAAACTGAGGCCCATAAAGATGTCACCTGTCTGTAGTTGCCAGCCCACCAGTGCCTGGCCAGGGAATGAATGGGCTTTTGGTAACCTGACCCTGTTCATGGTGCAGGGCCGCATCCAGAGGGGTCCTGTGAGTGCTACTGAGGCCCAGAGCCCGGTGTGTGCGTGTGAACTGCACTCTCCATACCTGTAGGCAGCAGCAGCAGTCTCATGCAGAGAAAACCACGTGTACAAACCAAGGGACACCCAACGCAGCCTCTGCAGCTCTCCACGTGCACTCGGCTGTGGCACAAACCCAGGGGCGTCTGGTGCGCATGGCCTTGGGGCTCACATGTGTCCCCATGCATGTGTGCAGCTGCGCAGAGGAACAGGCTGCTCTCTGGCTCAGGTAACCCAGGGCCCTGCAACCCGACTCCTCGATGGGCCAGCCCTCAGCCCGCAGCCTCCAGGCTTGGGGGCAGGGGCCGAGCACTATGACGCTGGGCTGGGCTGTGCAGCGTGGATGGGGGTGGCTGTGCTTGCAGACCACTCCGCCCCATGGGGCTCTGGGGGCGGGAGGGCAGTGATGGGGGTGCCTGGGCCCCTCACGCAGCACAGAACTCCCTGGGGCCACAGTGTCGCAGCAGGCCCTGCCTCTCAGCACCCAGCCCTCTGTCCAGGAAGCCACGGCGCCCACCTCCTCCTTGATCACCAAACCAGGCGGTTGTGAGTCGCTCGTGCCACCCACTGGCCACCCCCCTCTCTTCCTGCCTCCTGAAGCCTCCAGCCCCACGTGCGTCCCCACCCCAGCGACTCCAGCCCCCTGGCTTTGCCCACTGCCCTGTCCAGTGCCACTGGGTACTCACATGGCCTCTCGCCCTGCCTCGACCTCCGGGCCGTCTGCCGACCGACGGAGCGCTCCCACCCGGAGGTAGGAGTGAGCAGTGTGTGAAGTTGCGAAGGCACAAGCCCGCATTTTGGCCAAACCTGCAGGACAGGTTTCCCATTCTCCCAGCCAGGAGCAGAAAGCAGGCAGGGACTGTCCAAAGCTGCCCGACGGGTTCTGCCATCTCACGGAAAGTGGCAGAACAGGCTGGGTCTGCGCAGCATAGAGATGGAATTGTTTCCCGTAATTTCCCTGTGGCTGGTGGTGCGGCCTTGGTGGCCAAGCTGATGACAAGGAGCATCCAGTGGGGCCCAGGAGGGCAGTGGGGGCACGTGGCAGCACGTGGGGGCAGGCGGGCGACCTTCACGGGCTGTGGGGGGCACAGCTCCCTGCCCGGAGGTACCCTTGTGGCCTGAGGCCCAGCTCACCTCCAGCTGACCTTGGGCTGGGAAGATTCCGTGTGAGCTCGGTTTCCTTGTCTTTGATTTGGGGAGACAGTCCCGGGTTTGTCCCTGCCAGAGTACAGTGGCCAGACCTCCAGAGACTGCTTTGGGGGCAGCCCTGCGGGGCTGGGGGGCTTGCCCTCTTGGGGCTTCTGCTGCAGTAGGAGGAGTGGGGCTGGACAGGGTCTGCCTATCTGCCAGGCCTGTGGTACTATAGTCAGTGGGAGTGCGCGTGGCTCCCTGTGTGACCAGTGGGGCTGGTCTGGCCCATGGTGCTGCAGGAGCCAGGCACCGGGGTGGTGTTCTGCGTGACAGCTGTGTGCTGCCCTCTGCTGAGAGGGTGGTTTCTCACCTAGCCCCCTGCCACAGCCCCTCCCTCAGCTTTCTGGGCTCTGCTCTGAAGCTGGGGTTGAGGGCTAAGTCCATGGAGTTGAGGAGCCCAGGGCCCCCACGTGGATGCACGTGGGTGGACTTGCTCTCCCTGCTGGCTGTGCAGCTGGGCCTGGGCTCTGGGCCGGGCTGGGCCATCTCATGTTCTGCCACTGTGGGCCCCTCAACTGGACTGGGGAAGGAGTTGTGCTCAGCAGGGGCCACCTTGGGTGCAGGCCAGGCCATGGCCCTCCTGCCCACGTACTATGGTGTTCCACGGAGGGACTGGGAGTGGGGCAGCAGAGTGGCGTGTGCTCATGTGCACCTACACAGGTGTGCCTGTAGTGTGTCTATTTGCTATGGTCCGAATATTTGTGTGCCCCCCCTCCCGAATTCATATGCTGAAGTTCTGATCCATGGTTATGGGAAGGGTGGGGTGGGGCTTGGGAGCCCACTGGGCCAGGAGACTAGGACGTGGTGCCTTCCTGGAGGGATCTGTGGTCCAAGAGCCACCGGCTTGCTCCTTCTGGAGGTTCAGGCTGCGGAGCCAGCATCCGAAGGTGGTCAGCAGCTGCCCTCAGCTTGTGTCTACCTGTGTCTGATCTGTGACATGGTGGGCGTGTCATCAAGTGCATGGCTGAATACGCTGGTGTGGGGGGTGTGCAGCCACTTGGGGGTCTCCTGGGAAGGCAGAGGCACACAGTCCCCCTGGCTGTCACTCTGGCCTGGCTCAGCCTTCATTCTGGGGCCCAAACCCCAGGGCTCTGCCCTTTGGCCACATTGGAGTCTGAGTTGGAGTCCTCTGCAAAGGGGTCCCCCAGGCAGTCCGGCAGGAGTGTAGAGGCTGCACCATGCTTGGGGCTGGCTGGGGTGGGGCAGGGGCTCGGGCTGGACGCCAGTACTGAGGAAAGCTGGAGTTTTCAATGTAGCCAGCAGCACTGTGGCTGTGCCCACCAATAGCCATGGGGGTTATCACGGCCCCTACTTGGACAGTAAAAGGGCAGACAAGGGGGTCCGGCCTGGGATGGAAATTTACCCAGCGGCCCGCAGGCAGGGACTTGTAATCCACACTGGGTGAGGGCAGCCACACCTGGGGAACAAGTAGCAGGGAACGTGGGCTTCACTGAGGACAGCCAGGAGGGGAACCTCCAGACCCAGAGGCCTGGCGTGGGACGCCATCGTGAGAGCTTTCCTGAGCTAGAGGTGGTGGGAGGGCTCCACTGTGTGCTAGAGACTGACCTTGGCTTTCTGCAGATTATACCTCAGTCAGGCTGGGTTTTGTCCAACCTTGATGCCTAGGCCAGCTTCAAGCTCTAGACCACGTTCCTGTGTCAGGCTCCCGAGTAGCGGGGACTGCAGGCACAGCAACTGATTTTTAAAAGGTTGATTTTAAAAACTTAATAACATTAGCTGGCGTTGTGAGGGGTGGGAGTTGACACTGAGGAATGTGATCCTGGAATTGTAGCTCAGGAGCATGTCTGGTTCTTCTTTTTTTTTTTTTTTTTTTTTTTGGTGGAACCGGGGATTGAACTCAGGCTCTTGCGCTTGCCAGAGAAGCGCTTATTCCACTGAGCCATCTCCCCGGCCCCTAGTTCTAGAAGAATGAAGTTGGCGAAGGGGCTGAGATGATGGGCACCACTGGCCTGTGATCCAGCGCTCTGGGAGGCCGAGGCGGGGAGCACACATTCAAGCCCACCTCGGGCTATTTAGCAACTTAGTGAGACCTTTTTGAAAATGAAAAATAAAGGGCCAGGCTGTAGCTCAATGCAAAGTCCTTGAACACGCGTGCACACACACACGCGCAGAAGGCTGAGAGCCCCTATGGTGTGAGGGAGGTGACTGTCTGTTGCCCACCAATTCCACCCTCACCTCTGCCAGAGCTGTTGGATGTGTTGGGTCCAGGGACATCCTCGCTGTCGGATGCCCTAACCTCACCCTGGCTGGGAGCAGGATACTAATGCCGGGCACTGTGACCGATTACTGCCTGACATTCTTGTGGGCTCTGGGCAGTGCACAGCCACAGCCACGGCCACGGCCACGGCCACGGCCACAGCTGCCCTCTCTGCCTGCCTTGTGTCCCCGGCCTCTGTTCCTGCTGCTGACACTGATGCCAAGGGGGCCCTTGCCCAGTTCTTTGGTTACCAGGGCTCCGAAGGTCAAGCGCCTTGCCCAAGGGCACTACCTTGTGAGTGGCTGTGGGAGCTGAGCCGTGGTCTGCCTAGGCGTGGCGCCCCCACTTTACCATGCAGCTGCCCTGGACACCTGGGGCTAGGGTGGCTACAGTCTTCACTCAGCCTGCCCAGACATAGCAGGCCTCTTTCCATGCCTCCGCACATCCAGGACTGGCCCCGGGTGTTCACCAGCAGCGTGCACCTGGACGCAGCCCCTGGGGTGGAGGCCCTTCTGTGCCAGCTTCACACCAGCGGCACGCAGCTGGTGGTCAGGTGCCAAAGCGGGTCCCTCCCATGCCCCACGGTGCAGCTTGCCCTCTCCTGAGCATTGCATTGCGGGGAGCCCAGCCTGTCCTGGACTCCCTCTGGCTTTTCTCCTTCCTGGGTGGTGAGAACAGCCACTATGGGGCTGGGGGTAAAGGGTGCTGCACAGAGTAGCTGGCCCCAAGCCAGGACGAAGGCCCCCTGGCTGGGGACACCAGGGCCTGTGATCTGGAGCAGCTGGCCTCACCATTCTTTATTTCTTTATTTATTTATTTTTTGGCCTTGCCATTCTTGGGAGGAGGGCCTGACCCTAAGATGGGTCAGAGGCCAGGGTTTGGGAAGGGGTAAGATGTCCAGGAGCCTCCAGCTTGGGGGCCTGGGCAAGTGAGGCTCCAGCAGGAAGCACTTCCTGTCCCCCATTAAAAGTAACACTGTCTGGCCACTGATTCTGGGTGTGTCCAGGGTGCCCTGCCAGTCAGGGGCTGGAGGGAGCAGGGCACAGCCTCCCCAGGGAGACTTCCAGGCTCAGCCTGTGCACCCTGAGATGCTAGCAGATCCGGGGTGTGCCACATTCATCCCTCATCCACTAGTCACTCACTCCTGCCACATGTGTCAGGACGGTCAGTGTGCTGGGGCACAGCACTAGGCGGAGCCAGCCTCTGCCCCTGCAGAGCTCAGGGTCCCGCCGCACCGTGACACTGAGCAAGCTGTGTGGGCATGCACACTTCTGTGTGCACACGCGTACACACCCGCCAGTTGTGGGCACAGCATTCCTGAGGCAAAGTTCTACAGGTCCATCTGCTGGGGGAAGGCCACCAGGGTGGAGGTGCAACCCTGTCAGTTTGGCGTGGCCTAGCATGGCTGGCCATGGGTTCCCGGGTCTCAGTGGTGCCCTTTGGTCAGAGAGGGACTGACGCCCTCCCTCACCTGGGCTTGGCCTGGTCCTCTCCCTCCACCCAGGGGCTGAGGGTGAGCCCGGCCCAGCCCGTCTCTCCATCCCCATTCCAGTCCTGGACACTGCCCAGAGAGGGGTCCCTGGGTGGGGGTGAGGGAGGCTGTGGTGGCCTGTCCTCTGTGCCATGTATTATACACCCCCCCCCCTCTGGCCTCCCCTGCCTGTCTACCCTTCACTTCCTGTTAGGCCCTGGACACTAGAGATGTTACATGGAGAGGACCCTTGGGCCCACCTGGGAGGGGAGCTGGCCTTCAGGGCTCAGAGCTGGCGGGTGGGACCCCAGCAAGGCTCTACTGGGGGACCTGGTCTTCCTGGAAGACAAGCCCAGGGTGTGGCGGCCAGGCCCTGACGCTGCCCGGCCTGTGGGCTGCTGTTTATGGTGCATTCTTGGCTGCGAGCAGAGCTGTGTGCTGGCCTGGGGTCTCCCACGAGATCCCTGCAACTGCAGAGCCCGTAAGTGAGGGCTGATCATCCTGGCCACAGGAGCAGGTGCCAGCCCTGGGGCATGAAGAACACGGGCAGGGAGTGAGGCTTCAGCGGTGTGCAGCGTGGGCGACAGGCCTGAGATGCACTTGAGAGCCACGGAGGGTGGCTGTGGGGCGCAGCAAGGCTGGAGTGGGTGTGGGGCTGATGAGGTCGGAGCAGGGCAGGGAGGCAGGCGGGGAGCCATCGCCCTGCTCCGCCAGGCTGGAGTCAGGAATCTGGTCCTGAGCTCAGCTGGCTCCACTCTGCCAGCTGAGCTCAGGACTCTGGTCCAGGCCCCAGTTTCCCTGGCCACCACGCGGCAGTTGCTGGGGACCTGCTTGCCGGCTCTGCTCAGGAAGGGGGATCAGCAAGGCCATGTGAAGGATGCCCAGAG